CAGGAAGCACCTGGTTGAGATCATTGCTGCCAAAGGAGGGTCAACCAGTTATTAAATCCAAAGGTTCACTTACTTTTTCCAGTACCACTGTGAACGTTGAATGCGTTTGTATAATAGACATGAAAGAGTAGAATTTTTTCTGTATTAGTGGCTTAAGCTCATTGTGTATATCAGTACCTGTGACTTAGATGAAGATCAGATCACTTTATATGACCAATTCATGCAGAAAACCAGATAAGGCCAAATGGTCCACATGCTTTTTACTTTGACTGTAATGTCTATGCAGGCAGGGCTGCAAGGAAATAATTTTACCCCTGAGAAATAGCATTGGGAACATGAAAAGTGGTCAAATTAAAGGATTTATAAACCATTCTAATTGAAACCATCAGAAGGAGATATTTTAAAGAACTGCACTATTACATAACAACAAGTGATCCTCTGTTCCCCAGGCCACAGTACAGTACTCAGATTTCCTATTGATCGCTGCTTGCCTCATTACCATGGTAACCAGGCCAGGTCGATGCTTTCCGGCATGCCCCCCTACCCCGACCCGTCCAAACAGGGGTCCCCTGCCATGGCGTGCCAGGGGGGCAAATAAGGCGAGAGGAGAGAATCTGCTGTCCGTCCGTCCGTCCGTCCTCAGCAGGAAATATGTTTGAATTTGGAGGAAAAGGTTACGGCAAAAGCAGGAAAACATTCCATATCCTTTAAAAGAAAGTTTTTAAAGACACGCCTTTCCTCTGCCTCAGATATAGGCCAAGTATCTACACTTCTAATAAGTACGAGAAGTGTTTCACCTGCAGGCTTGTCAACTTTGGTCAGCTGGCTGGCGGCGATTTTCAGTTCGAGGCAAGTCTGCACGCGGGTTTACATGTATGTAACAGATTTATTACTTTGCAAATAGTCTGTAGGGCAGAGTTATTCAAATCACGGTCATCGAGGTCCAAGCACTGCTGGTGTTCCAGCTTTCCTTTACCTGCCAGTCAGGTGTGAAGCCTCTGACCAATCAGAATCAGTAATTATTAAGCTAACTACCTGGGAGAACTGAAAACACGGCCTGGATTTGGAATCGAGGTCCAGATTTGAAGAGCCCTGCTGTAGGATTTTCAAACTACCCCAAATGTTTTTATGTAGCTACTTTTAGGTTTATAATGGAATAATACAGTGAGTGTCAGGCCAGATGCATGAGACTTGGCAGCTCTGTAAATATCTGCACTTTTCACAAATACAAGAAGAGTCTCACCTGTATACACCACAATAAACACTGCCATATTCTGCTCATTGTTAAAAACTGCTTTAACATTTGCAGTTCTGGGAGGAAGGCCTATATTATATCTCGGTAATGGAGCATAAGCGGCCCGTCGGTGAAGCTGCAGACCTCTTCTTTCCTCTCTTTCATACAGCACGATTATTCCATGTCTAAGAGGGACTCTGCCAAACAACTCGTTTGCACAAACGACCCTGGAATCCACACCGATACGGGAGCTGCAGCAAAACAGGAATCGGAGCTTTTTTCGTGTTTGTGTCGCGCTAAGCTTTGCTGTGCAATTAATGGCAGGGGAGTGTGGCTGGGAGCCATGGACACCGATGACCCCCCACCCCCCTCATTACCAGTATACAGCGACGTCTCTCTCCTTTCGTCCTTTTAAAGCTCCCATCTCTCTTTACAGTGTCAGCCTTTCAGAGCTGCTCCGCTGATGGAGCTGAACTTTCCCCATTAAAGTTTATAGTTAAACTAGCAGTTCGCTCTTCCCTGAAGAAAGGAGCCACTAATGTGACCGAAAGGCTAAATGACATTTTAAGAGTCCCTGTGGTTCCGCGCCTTATAAATAACTAAGCGAGGCAGGTGGGGCGGCGCGCAGCGGCGAACGCGCATCTGGCAGCCCGGCCCCCGCGGGACTCGCCGATTCGTACCGCGGATCATGCCGGAGACGCGGCTCAGTAAAGTAGTTTCCGCCAGCCCTGGTTTCTTAGGTAGTGCCCTCCAGTATCTCTCCACCCATTTAGAAGTACTGTATATTAAGTGAATACGGAGCGCTATATGTGCGGTTTAAATAGTAGCTGGGATTGAATATAAAACGTATATGATAAATACGCATATATTACTAATATAGAGATCATTTAAAAAGTTTATGATTAAACTGCGCAAAATGTTTTTTAGGAGTCCGCAATAGTTAAAAATCGCCGTTCGTGAAGTTTGCTGGTTATGTGAAGAGGAAGTTTATTATTTATTGCTTATTTTTATTTATTAATTTGTTTACCGGCTTAAATACATTAATTCGACGAGACACTAGAAACAAACAAACAATCAGGCTAAATGTTTATGTAGGCTATATATGAAAGTGATTTCACTGTGACATGCTCCGGTTTATCTGTAAATAGCGTATCACTTAAAGACACTGCGTTTGCTCGAGATTAATAAAGTATCTGTTTTCTTTAATACTAAATAAAGACACAAACTGTATTTCAATGGCTGAACATTAAAAAGAGTCGGTGGGGCCCCGATTTCATACTTCACGTTGGCTGCACCTCCTGCGTCTGCTCTGCGGGAAGGTAACGCTGTAAATCTGCTGAAACGCGCTCCGACCGGGCAGAGGATTAGCCCCGTCTCTCCTAAACCCCCGCGGGTAAAGGTCCGGGGGGACAGCCTTAGCTATACGACGCTAGATCATATAAGCTATTAAATTAAATGGTCCAACACAGAAGTCACCACCCAAGCTGACTGCCGGGAAACAGACGCGGACTTTTTACAGACTTACACAATCACACCCAATTTTATTCACAGATAAAAGTCAATGCATGCGTTAAAGGATTGATAAACGCTTAACTACAGCGGTTTTCTATTTGCCCAACCTTACATACAGCGAAATACAACCTCCTAATAAGAAGTTAATACACATAACGGCCATAGGGAAAATTTCTAAACAGACATCGCGATTACCACGCTTTTGGGATTCTGCCCACATTCCCGCTTCCAGGTTAACACTGTTAATAGTGTTTATTTTGCTATAGTTAACTGAATTATCTGGAAGACTGCAATGAATCGCTGCTTCTGAATCAGTTGTGCGGCTGCTGACAGTACTGCATCTGGCCTTAATTATTAAGATGAATTGGCCGCTCATGTGAATAACATAATGCGAAGACGGGAAGCTGCGCGGTTATAAACAGAACCTGCATTGCGATCGGTGTACCTTCCTGTGTACCGAGCGGAGGACGTGTCACCCGCCGGCGATCGGGAGGCGACCCCGCAGGAGCTGCTGATCGGGCTGATAAAGCTCCTTTCCGTCAGTCTCCTTACCTCGGCGCTGCTTTGCGCTTAATGAGCCCGGTTGTACTCTAGTCCCAATCACCCCGCTGCTGCTGCTGCTGCTGCTGCCATATTTCCCCGGTGACGGCTTTAAAGAGGCGGGAGGAGCAGGCGGGGACCACGTCCGGGACCGCGATCGGCGTCTAAAAACGGGAGGAGGCCCAGGTTCGAGCTGCGGGGGATCCGGCAGCTTGCAGGACTGCGTTTTACTACGAGCTGCGTCTTGGCTGATGGTGGGAGGGGAGGGGGATCCGGGTTGGGAGGAGGGGACCCGGATCGGTGGGAGGGAAGACACGGGTCAGCCTCTCGCGGCGCGTTGGAGTGATACGCAGCCGTGACGTCACATGGATTGGTGACTGCCACCCATTTTTTCCCTCAGATATGACATCGGGACAGTTTAAATTGTGTTTTACCTTGACCTCCTTGGCTTCCGCATGCATATGCATATAGGTTGGTTAAATGGGTCTCGTGCAATTATTAAATAAACTGAGGTAATTGGCGGGGAGAAAAAAAAAGTGAAATTACTTGAGGGAATTAAAGAGATTTTATATAGACTGGTATGTAAATGCAACACTGGAAACAAGACTCTCTTTGCATGGAACGAAACACATTCGTCTTTGTTTCCCAGGGTCGTGCATGTTTGTATGGACTCTAGATCTTCCAGGCTCCCCCTCAGGTCAAAGTCATGCTGTTATTGTAGTTTCTAAATTGCGTGTTCTGTGATGGACTACCATCCCGTCCAGGCGCCCCACCCCCTACCCATCCGTGTCCAGGACAGAATAATAAAATACATTCATCGAAAAACCGAGGCCTATAACAAAATCCTGGAAGGATAAAATATTGCAACTCTGTGGAGAACGATCGGTAGATTAATATATGTCGTGAAAACAGTACATCGTTTGATGGCAAACGTACTAATAAAAAATGCATATTATTTTGTCCACTTATGTCTAATTTCCACACGCTTCTACCAGGCGCATATTATGAAAGTTGAATATTTGTCCGTTTAGCATACATATGCATATGTGTCCGTTCTTGCTAAAATTTATGTTAAGCATTCAGAGGCAGTTACGTAGCAAAGGATTGTGTGTTGAACTAACCAGGTTAATGAGAGTTTGATTGTGGACTTGCTCCCTCTGGTTTGCATATCACACACGTTGTTTCATAGATAATCCTGATAAGAAAATAAGCAAAGACCAGTCAACACGTTTGATCCCCTCTTTATTTTCCTGAGGACGAAAGTCTAAATTCACCGTT